TAAAGTTGTACTAGAAAGTCGCCAGTTCTCAGCTTCCAGCTCCACAGCTACTCCGCGTACTAAAGTTGTACTACAAAGTCGCCAGTTCTCATCGTCCAGCTCGCCAGATGCTCCGCGTACTAAAGTTGTACTACAAAGTCGCCAGTTCTCAGCTTCCAGCTCCCCAGATGCTGTGCCTGCCACGAAATCTGCACCTGGAGGTTCACAAAGTGCTGCGCCTGCCACGAAATCTGCACATGGAGGTTCACAAAGCGCTGCGCCTGCCACGACATCTGCACATGGAGGTTCACAAAGTGCTGCACTTAGCACCACATCTGCACATGGAGGTTCACAAAGTGCTGCACCTGCCACGACATCTGCACATGGAGGTTCACAAAGTGCTGCACCTGCCACGAAATCTGCACATGGAGGTTCACAAAGTGCTGCACCTGCCACCGCATCTGCACATGGGAGTTTCACAAAGTGCTGTGCCTGCCAGGAAATCTGCACATGGAGGTGCACAAAGTGCTGCACCTGCCACGAAATCTTCACTTCAAGAAACAAGTGAAAACTCTAATCCCAATGGACGGACGATTCCGAGAATGACCCGAGACCGTCTCGCAACCGTCGTTCCGCAGACCTTGCCTTACCAGCTTCGGAGCCACCGGTTCCATTTAAAAATATAGCATTTCGCGCCTTCGCTATCTCTCCAGAACGCATTTTGTCTTGCGCCTGCCTGGAAATCTGCACATGGAAGTGCACAAAGTGCTGTGCCTGCCACGAAATCTGCACATGGAGGTTCACAAAGTGCTGCACCTACCACGACATCTGCGCATGGAGGTTCACAAAGTGCTGCACCTGCCACGACATCTGCACATGGAGGTTCACAAAGTGCTGCACCTGCCACGAAATCTGCACATGGAGGTTCACAAAGTGCTGCACCTGCCACCACATCTGCGCATGGAGGTTCACAAAGTGCTGTGCCTGCCAGGAAATCTGCACATGGAGGCGCACAAAGTGCTGCACCTGCCACGAAATCTGCACATGGAGGTTCACAAAGTGCTGCACCTGCCACGAAATCTTCACTTCAAGAAACAAGTGAAAACTCTAATCCCAATGGATGGACGATTCCGAGAATGACCCGAGACCGTCTCGCAACCGTCGTTCCGCAGACCTTGCCTTACCAGCTTCGGACCCGCCCGTTCCATTGAAAAATACAGCATTTCGTGCCTTCGCTATCTCTCCAGAACGCATTTTGTCTTGCGCCTGCCACGAAATCTGCACATGGAGGTGCACAAAGTGCTGTGCCTGCCACGAAATCTGCACATGGAGGTTCACAAAGTGCTGCACCTACCACGACATCTGCACATGGAGGTTCACAAAGTGCTGCACCTGCCACGAAATCTGCGCATGGAGGTTCACAAAGTGCTGCACCTGCCACGAAATCTGCACCTGGAGCTGGAGTTGCCTGGAGCTTGAGCTGTTGAAACCAGAGCTGGTGTATGAGCGGTGTATGATGACTGGTGTATGATGAGGGGTGTATGACACGTGATGAATGATGAGTGGTGTATGATGAGTGGTGTATGATGAGTGGTGTATGATGAGTAGTGTATGATGAGTGGTGTATGATGAGTGGTGTGTGATGAGTGGTGTATGATGAGTGGTGTATGATGAGTGGTGTATGATGAGTGGTGTATGATGAGTGGTGTATGATGAGTGGTGTATGATGAGTGGTGGTTGAACAGCTGTTGAATGTCCGTAACACGGAAGTTTTGCACTAAACTTCCTTTGATTAAAGCCTAAAACCATAATGAGACCAGTTGCTGCGGCATTGGTTCTTGTGAAGGACACCGAATGGATGTTTGTTGAAGGAATCAAGACACTGCTTTATAAAGTAAAATGCCGACTGTTTGGACAAGGTGTTTGTTTCAATAATCATTTCTGCCCCGAGGACAATGACTACCCACTACACATAGAGGACCATACCTGGTTTAGTAAGCATGAGAGTGTGATGTCACATGAATCTAACGTGGGTGCTCAGGCTCTCATCGACTCCTTGACAGCCATTTGGAGATAAGCAGGATGAGATGGAATGAGTTGTCAGGATTGTACATTCTGTCAAAGTGCTGAACAACACCTGCTTTGAGAGTCAAGTGGTTTGGTTGGTTTAAACAATGATAAAGAATATCAAATCCATGTCTAAACTGTTTGCTTCCAGGAGTTTCCTATCTTAGCGATTCGTGTCAACTCTTGGTTCCCATAGTTGTTCGATGAACGCATTGCTGAACATTGCGCTCATGCGAACTAAACAAACAACAACCGCAAATGGCGATAGCACAAGCACAGACAAGTCACAAGTCACAATCTATCCCGAGCTTGTGCGTTGACTTCCAAAGGCCAAATGGCAAAGCAAAACAAGAGGACCCAATGTCCTTCCCTTCAAGCCCGGCAAGCTTCATGAGTCATGAGAGACGTTCTCACCCCCATGGGAAGAATGAATTCATCCAAGGTCCTGCTGTCCGAATAGACTAGTCTCTAGAAGCGCTACAGGAGTCTACCAGCAGGACACCCTGCCAACACGCGGGTCAGGATGGGCCCTGTTCGGCTGAGGCATCAGAGGACTACCTCTCCTTTTGCTGCTTGGCTGATGGAGCAGACTGATTTGCCAAGTATCGTTTGATTTGAGTCAACATTGACGGAACTCTGTGGAATAAAGAGCACGTGAACTTGCAGACGAGGCAAGTTTATGCAGCGTGTGCGCCAGCGGCGAGACTGGGCCGAGGGGCGTGAGGTTGTGCCCGTGGAGGAGGATCTTGGCACCTCGCCCAGAATTGACCAGAAAGAGAACACAGACAGTGGCCTCCAACCTACAGTAGAAGCGATGGCCTCCACCCTGGTAGCAATGGCCTCCACCCTGGTAGCAATGGCCTCCACCCTGGTGGCGATGGCCTCCAACCTAATTAATAGCGATGGCCTCCAACCTTGAAAGAGAACGCAGGCAATTACAGTGGGTGATTCTGATTTGTGCGATGTTGATTGAAGAAGTCTTGAAGGCGGGTATGTTTTTCAAGATAGAGCGCCTTCGGAAATGTGGAAGGTCGACCTAGGCCTGTTCGGTTGGGTACAATAACAAGATGTAGGCTTTGGCAAGATACAGACGTTTCGGAAAAAAAAATATATATGTATATATGATAATTCTGTGTTTGGGTGTTACTTGTACTACGCCAGACATAGAAAAACATGCCGATTTGTTTGCTCGAGGCCCCAAAGTACCCACGCCAAAGCGCGGCTTGGAACAGGTACCAGAAGAGGAGCAGGACGTGCAGGTTTATGTTGGGGTGGTGGGGGCAAACAGGTGATCCTCATGGGAATACTGGGATACCAAATAAGTTGATTCACCACTGTTCAGTGGAGTGGCTGCCAGAATTTATGGATGCATTCTGATTACCTTAGTTATATAAGCGGGATGTGGAACAGTCTTTTTCATCCCATGGTCCTGGAAGTTCCATTCAGGTGGGCTCAGCAGCACATCCTTGAATCGCCACATTGGAGGGCGACAGAAAGTGACATCAATTTGGAGCCACAATTCCATCCAAGACTCCCGGAGGCCAATGTCTCTTGCTTTTGTCGAATGACCACCACTGTCTAGCTGTCTAGCTACCCCTGTAGCTGGCTCGAGATGTTGTGAGCTGTGGGCTGCCTTCCAGTGGCTCTGGGACTTTGCTGGGTGTTTGATGATGCAAAGGCAAGGTTATGAGCCTGTGAGCCCATCTGAATCTGAGTCAACGTCCACCGACATCAGAGGCAGTGCCAAGGGCGCCTTGGTGCCAACTTGGTGCCCATCCAGGATCATCCGCGCGTCCGCCTTTTAGGTTAAACACTCGTCGGCGTGGGCCCGTAGTTAAATCGCATTATGAACCCCGAGATTAGGTTGTTTGCACATACACTGCTAAAGTTTGGGATGGACGGGGCGGGTGAAGAGGGGAGAAGAGGTGACCGGATGTGAAACCTCCAAATTCTGTGAGATGGAAAGGGTTCCAAATGCTTTAGCCATCCTTGACCAAGTCAAGCTTGAAGCATCCCTATCCCAAGATCAGGCAAGCTTGCAACCTTGGCTTGCTGTTGCTGTATCTCGCTGTTCTTGGTTCTGGGCACTGAAGTGGTGGCCTGGACGCGGCAAGCCAGCTGCGATTGGGACTTGGCCGGTGATGAGGACTGGAACGGAGTGATCCCGGCCAAGACCATGACGCAAATGCAGCTCGGGATTATGACCTCTTGGCTCTGGCATCAAGTGGATGTGTATAATGAGAATGCCACCGGAGCTCCTATGATCGGGCAACCTTGGCTCGTAGTGCATCAAATGAAAACGAGGGAGGTTCGGCGGATTCTCAATGCTTGGTCCCTCAAAACTCAAAGAATGCCAGCCTTAAGCCAGGCAGGATCATTCATCATGAGGCAGACCGCTGGTTGCAGACTGGATGTGAACAGGCTCCCTTTCCACCATTTCATTTGGCAGTATACTATAATACTATAACTGTCTGAACTATTCTGAGGTATTGGTCCAACGTGGACCTCTTCTTTGGAATTCTGGAGAAGTACGCTTACGTGCGAGATGGTCAAACCGCTTTGGAGGGCTGGCAGCCTTGGGGGTTCTACCTGGGCTCCCGATATCATGTTTGGTTATGCTCCAGCCTTGAGAAGGAGTACTACATCGAGGCCAGCTGGACAAGTTTCGAGCACAGCAGACCCAACCCCGTGAGTCCTGTCCACTCTGGATTTTTGCCAGGAGGACTGGTGGGCTCGGCCATGGTTCAGTGTCCTGGATCAACTTCCGCCACGCCTAATTATATTGAAGTGTTGGTTCTGACGACGAAAAGGCAGGAACCTGAGGGGCCGAGGGCTATTGCATTAGTGCATGATGCCTTCCCAAAAGTGGACATGCTGTGATTTTAGGGGGCTCTCGTCAGGTCCCACGGACCCATTTGGACCCATTTGGTGGGCAAGTCGCATTTGGTTTTAGAGTAGATGTGCATCCTGACCCCAAAGTCATAAATCCAGTAGTCGAGCGTTTCAGACATACTGGCATTTCTTTTGAGAGCTTGAGGCTTCAATACCCAGAAGATCTTCAACATCCGTGAGATGCCGTCTGGGCAACTGGTGGCTACCAGTCAGCACCGTGTCGCCGACCTTTTGTCCTTCAATGCTCACTGGGTGGCCACAGTGGAGACGCCCGATGGTGTACCCATTGCCACACTGAGACAGGATTCGCCCTGGAGCAGGTGGATCTTCATCAGCTACCAGAAGCTCAGCTGCGCCAAAGAACATGACAGAGAGAAGAAACCAGGGTCTTCTTGAAGAAGTCACAGAAAGAGTATCCGGTTGGGGCTTGCTACCAGAGCTCTCAACAAAATGAATTACTTTACTTCCAGTGATCCCCACCATGACGTTTCAATCATTTGTTTTCATGCCATGGTGAGGAGCATGTTGCCATGGTCATGGGTTTTTGTGGTTTTCGATTTTGGGAATTCTTACTTTAACGATCTTTAACGTTAGGGAGTTCGCATGGGATGTCGCCAGGGTCTCCAGTTAGCATCCAAAAGTGCTACCCTGTGACCACCTGCCACGCAAAAAATACCACAAGCACAGGTAATTATATTGTTGTGGCTGTGTGTTCGTGACTGTGCTTGTGGTTTGTGTGCTTGTGGGCGTGTTTTGTGTTTGTGGTTGTGTACTTGTGGCTGTGTGGCTGTGACTGTGTGCTTGTGACTGTGTGTTTGTGCTTGTGTGCTTGTGGCTGTGGTTGTGCATTTGTGCTTGTGTGTTTGTGAGTGTGTGTTTGTGGCTGTGTCCTTGTGATTGTGTGCTCATGGCTGTGGCTGTGTGGTTGTGACTGTGTGTTTGTGCTTGTGTGTTTGTGGCTGTGTGTTTGTGATTGTGTGTTTGTCTGTAGACACGTATAAAGCTTGAAGCGGCTTTGGCCCACGCAGCCGTTGGCTTGAGCGCTACGATGTTCACTTCAGCTTCAGCAATCATGATTCTTCATTAATTGGCTTTGAGTGGTATTCACTTACGTGTCTTACTGTTTTCAAGCTTCACTGCATTCTTTGACTTCCCTTTCTGTCTGTGCCATTGCCACTAATTATGTCCCGGCCGGGTCTTAATTCACCCAGCACATCGGATTTGGCATGCTACTTTGCTAGTCCTGATGAGATTATGTCTTTATGCACTGATGAAGGTTTGTTGGCGAAGCTTCATGCGGCCTGGGAGTTGGCCAGAAGTTTGCGCGACGCCCAATTTGAAAGAGATGCGTGCAAAGCGCCTGCCTGGCAAAAGATTGATGTTGTAGTGGCACCTGCAACAGCGCCCAAGAAGCATGCCACTCCTCTGCTAATTTGTTGCGCGGTGCTCAGAATTTAGTCTTCAGGGAGACGCTGCAGATCAAGCGCTCACCAATCCATCAACTCAAGGAACCTATTCTCAAGATGAAAGTTGAGACCCGTGCGCAGTCTGTGGTGTGCCTTTTGTCATTGTCATGTGGAAGCCAACTCCAGTTCTCTCAGCGCAGTTTTTGAAGCAAGTAAGTCAGGGAGGCCCGACCGCGGCTGCAGGATGCCTTTAAATGGTGGAGAGCGAAAGTAGGGTCTAGTGCTGGATTGCCGCCTGACAGGGCCTGACGCGCTGTGGGCCCCTCAAGAAGATGCCTATTCATAATTTTTTGTTTGCTGCAAACCTTATGAGCTCAGCTTGGGGCCGCAGAGGACCAAGCTAACGACTTTGCCTCATATGCTTTGGGACGATTCTTGCCTACCGTGGCGCATCTGTTTTCCTTGCCTGAGGAAGACGGGCTTGCCATTGGTAACTGGTGCGACAAGCCTTCAGCTCACGGTGATGCTAGCGTCTTGCGCGCCCGCTGTGCATACTATGGCCCAAACATGTTCGCGCGAGAAGGTTCAAGTTGCTGCCGCCATTCTGTCCAGGGCTGCTTCCAGTTTCGGCAGCCCTGACGCTTCGTGGGATGATATTTGGCGGTGTCGTCCCACTCTGCGAGAAGTGGCATGTGTGTTGAGTGTGTTGTCCTCTCACAAGTGGCAGTTGCCGACGGAGAATGGCTGCCCGGTTGTTGATCATTCGTCATTCACCTGCCTTTGCTCAGCCCTGCTTCCTCACAATCTGCCTGAGAGACTGTAAGCTTAAGCCAATTTGCAGCTTGAGCCTACTCTTAGATTCGTGCTCGCCCCTGGCTTCTTTGCCGATGCCAACGGTCCTTATTTGAGGCGCAAAGTTCGATTCTGCGTGGCCGAGAGACGAAAGGAAGGGCGAAGTATCTTGAGCATGCGTTTCGCACGTCCTCACCTCAGATTGATTGGGAAGCTCCATGTTTGTGGTTGTATGTGTTGCGATTGTGCTTGTGGCTGTGGCTGTGTGCTTGTGAATGCGCGTTTGCGGTTTTGTGTTTGTGGTTTGTGTGTTTGTGGTTATGTTTTGTGTTTGTGGTTGTGTATTTGTGGCTGTGTGGCTGTGACTGCGTGTTTGTGATTGTGTTTTGATTCGTTTGTTTTTGGTTGTGGCTTGTGTATGTGTATTGCGGTTGTGTTGTGTTGGCTGCGTGTGTGTTATTTTGTTTGTGGTTTGTCTGTTTGCGGTTGTGTGTTGCGTTTGTGTATTGTGGTTGTGTTTTGTTGGTTGTGTATTGTGTGTTGTGTTTGCCGTTGGGGGGTTCTCTGGCACTTGCGGTTGAGGCCCAGTAGTGCCCGCTGCAATCTGGCGCTTGCGGTTGAGGTCCCGTAGTGTCCATGTTGAGGTCCGGGGCGGAGGAGAAGAAGGAGAAGCAGGAGAAAAAGGCTATCTGTAAAAATCCACTGGCAACCCTCACCTGACAGGTGGGGAAAGTCAAGCAGTGGATGTGAGGACACAACCAAACACTACCCGTGTGTCGGGCTGTTGGCCATGATCGGCAAGGCCTTGCTGTATATCACCTAGTTGCATGGCCACGGCTTCGATTTTCGGCCTGAGGAAGTGGTGGGTGGACAATCACAGACCCGATCTGCTGCCTAGTGAAGTGGTTTCTTTCCTTGCGGCAGTCTACGACATCGAGAGAGCACGTGAGAAGAAAAACAAAAAGTAAGTGAAGGTGAAATCCTTTGAATTGAACCTGTGGGCGGTGTAGTCCATGAATTCCATGTTGTTCCCACCTTCCTCTCTTGATAGCTCAGGTTTGTTCTCACTCAGTCCATTTGATCCAGAAGATGCTTGTGCAAAAAATCAAGTCTTGAGTCACCACCCGCCGGAGTTTGCAATTGCGAATCGGTTTGAAGATGGCATCCGTGGCAGACATGGTTCGCCCAAAGATAGGATTGTTCATCTCTGCAGAATTGTTGTTGCAGTGAACAAAGAGGGACCAATGTGTTCCAGCAGTGAAGCAACCAAAACACAGTTTTTCAGCTGCATTTGGCAACCAGTCCGTGTGAGTACCGTACATTTGGGTCTGGGAAGAGACATAATATGTATTATTATAGATCCCCTTCGGAATAAACATTAGAAAATCGGGGACCCTGGGTGCCCAGAATCAGGTGCATTTTTAGAGAACAATGGTTGTCATGTTCATGTTTTGCTCTAAAATCAGGAACCCTAACAAACATCAAAATTAAGTTTTGTTTAAGTAAATTTTCAATAATTTCTCATGTCAGTCCTGATTTCATAGAGAGTGTGGACGAGTAAAGTCGATCATATTCGAGGAGGGTGGGTGCCCCAAGTTTAGAGACAACAAAAGACTCAATTTTATAGAGACGTCATTCTGAAGCTGAATTCCATTGAATTCCTGATTTTATAGAGAACAGATGACTGGACGTCAAACATCCAGAAACTGGAATATGACAAAGCTACAAAGCGCAGCTATCGCAGCATGTGGTGCGGATGGTGCGGAGACGCTGATCCCTCTCGCAATGGAAACATTCACCTCTATCTTGTAATTGTCCTTTCTTCTTGCCCTGTGTATCCAAGAAGCTGCAGAACGGTCATCATCTGCAGCCTCTTCAGTTTTCGCTGGTTCTGCAGCCTCATTTTTTGGGGGAAGCATGGCAGAAGAACAAAAGTAACAGAGGCAGCTTCTGCTAAATCCTTTAGCGACGATCTATTTGCAAGACACCAAGCAAAAACGCAAAAAGTCAAAAACTGATAAAATTAAGTCACACAGTGAGAAATGAGAAAAGTCGAAAAAGTCAAAAATGTAAAGGAAACGAAAGCACGCAGCGAGACTTATCGACTTTTTGAAACTTTTTGACTTTTCAACACTCATTTTTCAAGACTTGTTGACTTTTCGACTTTTCTCATTTTTCGAGACTTTTCGAGACTTTTCGACTATCGAAATTTTTGGACACCAGTCGCATGCCGTGCCCTTCAACAAAAGTCTAGCAGAATTGATCCAAACGTTGCTTTTGCTCCTACAGATATAGGTATAGGTTGCTGTTTTCCAGACATCTCCAGCCGTGTCAACGTGAGTCAGCCTTGAGCAGGAACGCCTGAGAGAGGATCTGGAGGTCAAAACACGCAGCGCCAATGACCTTCAAAAAAGAGACGCCCACCAAAAGGACCCGGCAAGCCTCGGGATCTTTTGGCGGGCGACTCTGTTATCATCGTTGCTTTGTCGCGACTTTTCGACTTTTCGCGGTCGAAACAAAGGGTCGACCACTTTTTGACTTTTTGCAAAAAGTTCGGAGAGCAAGTAGATCCAGCTCACACATTTAGCAACCACAGTAGCTTCTGGCTTCCTATTTTATTGTGAAGGTGAATCTAGAAACACTCAGGTCCCTGATTGTATAGCACTACATGTGCTCTTACAATATCCTATTAATCATTAATCTCTTGTCTTGTCCTTTCTAGTCAGTCTATTCATGTCTATTCTCTTCTTTTTTTCTGGCTCTATATAACTGAATTTTCTCTAAGAAGCTGCAGAGCGGTCATCATCTGCTGCAGCCTCTCCAGTCTTCGCGGGTTCTGGAGCCTCAGGTGTGGGGGAAGCGTTACAGAAAAGAAAAGAAAGGAAGAGGCAGCCTCTGGCTTAGTGAAGGTGAATCTTGAAAAACTCAGGTCCCTGATTTTATGGCAACTCAGGTTTTTTGGGGAAGCATGACAGACGAAAAAAAAGAAGAGGCAGCTTCTGGTTTCCTATTTTATAGTGAAGGTGAATATAGAAAGCTATAAAGTCAGGGACCTGAGTTTTTCTAGATTCACCTTCACTATTTTATTGGAAGCCAGAAGCTGCCTCTTCGTTTTCTTCTTCTGTCATGCTTCCCCCAAACCTGAGGCTCCAGAACCTGCGAAGACTGGAGAGACTTCTGCAATTTGATGTTTGTGCTGCACTTGGTTTTTGTGCTTGTGAAATTCTTTGGCATGTCGGAAACATCGGATGTATATAAACGGAGAGTTGTCGGACAGAAACGGAAAACTTTGGTCAAAACATATCGAACATTGTTATGTGGCCTGTATTCTCTATAAAATTAGGGTCAGGGGTAAGGCCTATTTTGGCTACGTTCCTGATTTCATAGAGACAATATTTATCAATCAATATTTTGGAAGGGGATTATTATAGTATGAATTTATACAGTCACATAATTAGCAGCCCAGGACCTTTTGGCGTTGCTTCATTGCAGGGTATGGCTGGGAAAAATTGTATGTATATATGTATATACAATCATATACACACATACACACACTCAGTCTGCGCAAAAGTGATCAGCACCTAGTTTAGGGTCTTCTCCTTTGAATATGCACGATACTCAATTTGCGCCAAACTTCTGTGTGGTTTGCCAATGTCGACTTCTTTGTTTGGGGTTCAATTTGCCTCTGGTATAGCAGCCGCACATCCCAACTAGTCACCTCAACGGAGATCAAGTTGTCCCGACTCCTTCGCTCTACTTGAACGACCAGTGTTCGGACGGACTGTCCAGAAAGGTTCCTTTCATCAAACCAAACTCGTGCGCAAAGGAGGGTGACCAGATGGACTGAGCGACCGATGGCTGATGGATTCTTGTCAAAGCATGGAGATGCAGATGGAGTTGGCCACTGTTCCCGCAGTGGAGTCCAGCCGCCACCTGGGTAAGGAAGGCTATTGCCAGCAATATGCCGAGTTTTCGTTTGTCTATGTTTGCAGGGTTGTCGGGATGCACAACCAAGCAAGCATATTGCAATTGACGGTAGACTCGTTGTTGATTGTTGTATGATTGGTTGTCCCCCAGTTCTTGAAACTTCGTTGAAACCTCCATGCATGTACAGCTGCATATCTGAGCTCGGAACTAGGCAAGTTGAGGCTCATACAATCCAGCGCTTGTTTCACCTTCACTGGATACCCTCCATGCATGGAAAGAATCAAAGAATCAACATTTGGATAACTTGGATGAGAAAAAATTAACAAATACTGTAATGGTTTCGGAACCATTGTTGATTTCCCAATCAAGGAACCCTTTTGATCCGGGATCTAGGGATGTTAGGGTGACTTCAATGGAAGCTGTTTTGAACCCGAGCTCTACTGCTCAGTCTGCTAGACAGATCGTCGATTCGCTTCCTTCACTCTCTAAATCTGTTTACATTACTACCTCCTTACTTTCTTCCTTCCTTTATACTGTATTTCTTTAAATGGTCCACCCAAAATGTTTGTTGAATGAGCCTTACCTTGGGTAGAATACATTCTCAGAATGGACACGTGTAAATGTGAATTTGACCGTATGCAGGCACTCGACAGATCTTGGAATCAAAAAGTCCCACAGCTGATCGATGCATGATAGGTTTGCTTGTGATTTGACACGCAGCTCTGGCTTGCAGGGCTTTTGTGGTTTTTGAAGTCCATCTCCGTAAAGCTTGTGGTTGCCGATGATGCTCAGTTTCTCAGTTGTATTTGGTCCGTGGTTTCAATATGTTCTGTGTCTATTAGTGAGAGACCAGTGCCCTGCTTTGCAGGGTATTTGGTGGCTAGCTCGATCCGGGTACTGCTGGCCAGCTCCTGAGGGAGGAGCCGGTTGATGACCTTGAGTCAAAGCATGTGAAAGGTATCAAAACCTCATTTATGTCCAATATTATTGCCCATGCCTTTCAAGCTCAGATCCAGCATGTGCAATTTCATTTTGACCGATCGGTACATACAAAATGAAGAACATGGTTTGATATCAAACTCCAATGATTAGGGTTTCATTTTCATCACTACGACTACAACAATGAAAGAGTTTGGCCCAAGCGCATTTGTAGTCCCCTTGATCTCTTCACGACAAGAGCCCAGGTGACATTTCAGGGGCACGGGCTCAACACCAGCCCAGCGGAGCTGCTCTTTTGCCGGGGTGTCTCAGAGAGTTACTGTAAAGACTTCTAGGATGCAGCAGGGGAACACCTTGGGCTGCCTCTGACGACCCGAATCCGACCTGGTTAGAAGGCAAAGAATCGGTAATCTAGCATTGGAGGTGAAGTCGACTGCAAACGTTGCGCTTACATGTTTTGCCCTGTTGGGAGATTCTTTGACGTGAGTCAGCTCTAGTGCAAATCTTGCGCTGCCTTGCTGTTTATATACTGTAACTCTTATCGCCACATGTGTAATGATAATGGGAATCGCAAGATCGTCCAAGCCATTATAGCATAGACAGGGTCCTTTCTGGAACAAAGCGGCACGTCGTTCACTATATCGTTAGCACGGCATTCTGACGTCGCTTTTTGACATGCCAAGTTCCAGTATTTGGGAGTGCAACCATGGCAATCAAAACTCCAGGACATCAAATGTTCAACAAACACAAACACTCAGTTGCTAGTGGGATTTATATAAGTTCCCAGGCATTACTTAAGGATGACTTCCGAAATCCTGCGTTTAGCTTGGAAAACGTGTAAAAGGATTGTGTGAGATTGGAAAACCGTGCAGAGTTTGTAGCGTTGCCATCAGCAAGAATGGGTAGCTAACTCATCTCTGAAGCTGCTAGAGTGAACGCCCAGGCCTGTTCATCCATGTGGTCTTGGTTGGCATTCCCCTTCGCTGCATTGATCGACGCCCTGTGGGGCCGGGTCTCCCTGCTGAGTCTTCTTTAGTGGATTCTTCGCGTCTTCTCCAAAGGGTGAGTCAGGTCATGAGGAGGGTGTGATCTTTACAGCGCTCTTCTAGGTAGGTAAATGGAGGTGTAGGTAGTTGTAAGGGGTAGATGGTTAGTAGCTTTCTTATCTTGTTTTATTTTTGTTTTGCTTTGCGTTTTGTTAGTAGCAAGAGGGTGCAAGAAGTAGGAAAGGCCAAGACAAAGCTTTTGATAGCGAGGGAGGCAGAGAGATTTGATGGAACCTAGACTAGAGTAACCACTAAATAGCCTCTTCGGAGCGGTGGCAGGATTCAGTTGCCTCACACCTTGAAGAAGGACAGGGTGGTCAGGTGTGGCGGAGCTTTTATTGCCTATATTGCATGCACTTCCAGACTACCTTGTCCTTGTGGAGCAAGAACCGCTTTGAACTACGTTTCGAGGATCCTTTGTGACAAATGTGTGAAATGCATACTTTTCAGCTATGCCATGGCAATTTCTTCCTTCCTCTTTTTGGGCTGCCAGGCTTTTTAGGCGTTCTGACCGACTCACCACACATACCATTGACATTTCCAAGAAAAAAGGTGGCCTAAAGAGCATGTGTTGCAGCATGCTGGAGGATTTGATACAGTTCTTAGAATTGTCCTACACCATCAATTGTATGAATGCGCTCCAATTTGTGGCCTTTTAGCCCCAGGAAGCGCCGTCGACACCCTACTCGAATCCCCTTGCCATTGCGATGAAGCAAAATGCCAAGAGTCCGGGGCCGATATGGAGATGGGAGATGGCGGAGATGATTTTGAATGATTTTGATGGAAGGGGAGGCAGTGGGTGATCAAAAGGTTGAAGAATCGGAAGGGTTCACATGGCTTATGGGAACTGTAGCTTGCATTTGGTGTTTTCATATACACATCGTTCTCTCAACACAGTCCACGTCTAGAGTCTAGAACATTCCTGTAGAGATAAGCCTTGAAGGGGGGCTATGGCGCATGCAAGTTGTATTGGAGTAAGAACTGAAGATGGTCAAGATGATACTAAAGTGCTGGTGGCTCTGTACAGTCAAGACACTTGTTGACTCTGTACATCTCTGTACTGTGTACCGTTTCTTTGTTATTTGTAAAGCTTCACACACCGGCGATGCCATAAGGGTGGTTGTGGTTGTTGTGGTTGTTGTTGTTGTTGTGGTTGTGGTTGTTGTTGTTGTTGTTGGTAGAGACAAAAACAGCTGCCCAACATAGTTGTCACATATTGCAAGTCAGGGATTTCAAAGGGACACTACTAGGGATAGGGTCGAAGGTTTGGAGAGATGTTAGTAGCTGGACTTCTTGTTGTTGTGGTACTCAAGCCTTGGTTCGTATGTTTCTTGTTTTTTGATGTTTTTTGGGGTGTTGTTCTGGAGGGGGGGGTCAAAAAAACAACAACGGGGCTGCATATTTTGTTTCTAGGGGGGTAGAGGCAACAACATCTTTTGAGGGGGGGGGGGTCCAGAAAAACAACAACGGGGCTGCAGTTTTTGTCTCTAGGATGTGGTAGAGGTTCTAAGCAGAAGTTTTATAGAGGCTGAGCTGACCGGACTACCACTACTACTACTACTACTACTAGTACTAGTACTAGCACTACCGCTACTGGTAAAAGTACATGTTGGCTGGTTGTTTTCGGGGGGGGTCAAAATAACAACGACGGGGCTGCAGATTTTGTTTCCACCCCGTTGTAGAGACAAAGGAACAAGATATCTTGTAACGGGGCTGCAGTTTTTGTTTGTACCTTGTTGTTGTTGTTGTCGCTGTTATGGTTGTGCTTGTTGTTGTTTCCCTTATTTCCGGGGGAGCCTCAAAACGCACCATTTAGCAGGTTTTTGCATTAGGGACCCCAAAACAGTAAATGTTGATGTTTTTGAACCTCGGCAAGCTGAAAGCCACGGTATTATTCACGACGTTTTTACATTAGGAGCAAACACGTGGCTTTTATATTGTTTCTTACATTTCTGTTGCAAAAACCATTGGTACTTGCGCAGTTTTGGGCATGTTGCAAGTTGCAAGCAATTACATTTTCAATTATTTTCACTCAACAAGTGCGGAATCACTGTAACGATGTTTTTATCATGTGCACGTCCTAAAACACTGATCAAGCATCGTCTACAAATGCTACAAAATCCACCTGCAGGAGCCAGCCGATAGCTAAGCTGAAGTGACGCCTTAAACCCATCTAGTTCCGCGACCCAAACCAGGAAAGCGCACGCGTACGGGTGTCTAATGTCAGTCTTGAACGCCGTGTACTCTCTTGCTAAATAGCTATCCAGCTACATAAATGCTCTACCAAGACTTCCAAACCACTGCTCCTATGTGTGTTCTTTCTACCTCCGTCGCTACCCCTGTCCACCTAGCGCTGACGCCCCTTCAAACTTCCATCGGATCCCTTTGCACTCTATCCCTTCCCCACACGACCTAAATAATGCAACGATAACAATGATTATACCTGCACATCTCATGGGTTTCAACCTGTCCCATTAACAATAGATAGGTAATGTTAATGGAAGAGTTGACATCCTCCCCCCTGCTGAAGCAAGAGGTGAGAACCTAGCTTTCAAATCTGGGCTGTTTGGTCCATATGCTGCAGCCATTTTGTGTGGTCGAGGGGTGACCAGATGTTTTCATAGTTTGCCAGTACATGAACCACGAAAATGGCAACCTGCAGAGATGTCCGGAACGATAACGAAAACGATAAGGACATGTGGCAAAACACACCCCTGGTGGGCAAGTATATACCCAATTGACTGTTTTCATTAGACCGTTTCAAGGGCAGAAGTGCGCGGCGCGGGTAGTCTTGTTTAGCTGTTTATATCTGATCTTTGCTACTGCCATGCTTTACCACCAAAGACCGTGTATGGCTTGGTGCAAGCAGTGCTGGGATCCTGAAGTAGGACCACCAAAGATGCTTTCACATGCATGGAAACTGCGAATTTGACAGTTCTTGTGTGCAAAGAGCCCAAGACCGTAAGACCTGAGAAAACGTTAAGAGCAAAAAACAATAACATGATTTCAAGGTATTGCAAAAGACACGGGGCCTTTTCAATACCCCTTGTGGTTTTGGCCTTGGGTGCTGTTCAGGATGCCAAACACTTTTGGTGTGTTCTATTTCCATAGCCTTTGAAGTTACTTTCTATTATTTTCTTCGGCTTGGCCTTAACCGCGCCGGATGGCAGGTCATGGCACGGTGGACCACATGGAGCTCCGTAAGACACCCTGGCTGGAGATGGAAATCGGGAAGACGACGCCCCTGCTGGAGATCGAGGACTGCGCAGGGCACGGCAAAGCCAATAGTAAATAGTCTGATTATGCTGTCACCAACCTGAGCAGCCCAGTCTGGTAATCAATCGATATCACAACCTTGTCATCCGCTTTGTACAATTGTCGATTGCACAACATTATCATTGGTTGCAAAACATGGCTCGGTGTTCACTCAGAGTTCGTCGCGATACCGTCGATTGATATTGTGAAGTGCTTGTTCCGGAGCGTGCGGGCGGCTTTGTTGACCGCCTGTGCGCCGATGTTGCAAGTTTTGGTACTTTAAAAGGCCACCATATGGAACAAGAAACATATCCAAGGATAAACAGGTTGAGGGAATGCATATACTAGATCCAAGAGTGGACACAAAAGGTTTTCCAACTTGATGGGGATGCATCCCGAAACATTTGTTTTCAGACGGAAGGTGTTGTGTTTTCACCACTGGCAAAAAAAACAGAAGGCATTTCGCACTGAGGCGACCAGCGGTGAGCGGTGATAGTGTGAAAGACGCTGCCTGAATTGGATAAGGACTGACTTATATAATGTCTTATTGCTCATATAAAATTGTCTTTGTTCGGGCCTTTGTGGGTGCCAAAACAAACGAGTTGTTTAAAAGCTGGCGCCAGGAAACCCAAGGCAGTGCGATGAGTGGAAGCCCAGTGACGTGTGGAGTCGGATGGAGGCCCCCAAGACACGCTGGATACTACTGGATACTATGTTTGAACTTGAGAATATCCCGAGTGTGTGTGTGTGTGTGCGTGTGCCTATCTTTGCAATTGAGAAATATGGCCCCCCTACCAAAGAATCTAGGGTGTCACCATAATAGGATCCAGCTAGGAACCATCTAGGAACCAGTTCGGGGGTTGTAGGAAGTAGGACAGGTTTTAGGATGTCAGAAAACCACCCAGACAGAGTGATCTAGAGAGCACCTCAGCTAAGCAGGCTCCGACAGGCCTGTGAAGGCAGCCCCAGCACACCAGGCAGTCAGACAGAGACACCACCGGTTGAAGTTCTATTGGGGTCAGAGAGGAAGGCCAACGCGCCAGCTGAGCCAGAGCAGTTAGTGGCTCTAGAGGAGCAAGAAGAGCCAGGGGCCAGGGTACTTATGTAAACCGCAATTGTCTTAAAGTTTTTTGGGTCCAATTTTAGTGAAAAGTAAGGCGGCGGGAATTCTACATCAAGGCCTGGGCAGACTGCATTTAGGGGTTTTCCACACGCAGTTTTCTGAGGGTTTTAATTGGAATTTGAGATGGCAGTGCGTGAGAGTTTGGATTTGTTCGCTAAAGTTGATGCTTGGACCTCACTTGGAAGCCACTAAGATTTCCATAAAGTCTTCGTTCCTGTGGTGGCTGAGGCTGCAGTCCTTTGAGCGGATAGCCATGCTCAAAGTCAAAGTGCCGTGAGCCTGGCGCGCTTGAGGGCTCGGCTCGTACGATCTTGGAAAATGTTGACCACAGAAGATCAGACGAGCACCGTGAAACAGCCCCCAACCGAGCACGTTCCGCAATCACTCCTTTTTCCTCAGGTCCAGAGAGAGTCAGAGGGCGAATACAAACCATGTGGGGTACCCACGTTTATTGTGTGACAAGCTTTGATCCGGACCTGTTTCCTGTTTATCAACAACCTGGTAAACCTCCAGCAGACCACTTTGGAACGAGAAAGCTGTAGACACCCCAAATCTTGAGCCATTCACAAGAGACAAGAGTGAAATCGTTTTTAAAAATTAGAGCTGGGTAGCCGAACTGCATTGCAGCATGGCTGAGTCGTGTTCTCGCCCACAAACATCCATTTGATTAATCAGACCAGTCAATAGTTTATACTGGTAGCAAGGACGCTACTAGGTGGAGTCCATCGCTACTAGTAGCTATTTGCTACTAGCTTCATGTTTGGCCTGTTCGCCCCTTCCAGGGACAAGGAATGGCCTGCCTGGATCTACGATGTGTTTTGCAACGTTGGCTCATTGGTGCCTGTCCGGCTGCCTGAATACGTGCCGTCACAGGTTTGGGCTTTTGAGTTTCGTTCTGCCGGTAGTTGTGACTTTGCCGATTTATTCAGGCCTTGTTTTCTGGAAATGTGGTTGGCCAATGGTACGCCTCACTTGTCGGCACAATCTGCGTGTTGTTTAATGAACAAACATGTGGTGAGTGCCAAATAGATGTGTATTATGGGATGGTTTTGAGAAGTGGGACGATGTGTGGACAGCTTGGTTGATTGTTGGAAGTTGGAAGGCAACTATCGTGATCATTGGGGTGCTTCCGCTGCCCATTTTCCTGTTCCTGGTGCTGTGGCAGAAGCGGGGGGCCTGGATGAATTGTGGAGATGAACGCTATATATATATAGTGATTTGGAAGCCTGATTTCAACGCTGAAACAGTGCAAACCCATTTGTGGTTATTTGTAGCGCTGTCTTTGTGCTGCTGTTGTAAAGGTGCCAAATTGTTTTGATCGTCGAGTCATACCTCTCCAATACACACAACATCACACAGCAGTTTTTGTTTCAGGTTTCAACCCGATTTTGCGGTCCCAGAATCGTTACGCGGTAATGTGCAGTTTGGTTTGAGTATGTTGAGATGGCATGACTATTGGAACTGTATGTCCCAAACTTTATGTTTTGCATCAAGTGTGCTAGCCAGGCTTCACTCGGAGTGGCTGCTGTGCATTGCTGTGTGCCTTTGTCGCGTCAAGAATCAAGAGGAAAACTGAAAAAGCTTAGCGAAAAGAGAGAGAGAGAGATGTTTCTTTTTCTGAGACGGTAAACATGTCTCGGGTTCCAACCTCTTCTCTCGCAATCACGACCAAAGTTTGGAAGAGGTATTGAGTGAAGGTCTCAAACAATTGAGTAGGTTGGAGGCCATCGCTATTTGGGGAAGGCCATTGCTGTTAGGTTGGAGGCCATTGCTATTGGGAAGAGGTTTTGAAGGCCTTTGTGCCACCAGGTACTGTGCAATCATTACCGGCACCACCAACCTCCGGGTGCGGCAGCTGTCAGCAGATTGGCAAGCTGCTGGAATGCTCTAAGTTCAATGCCCAACCATACCCCTTTGTGATGTCTATTCTGTTCATTGATGGAAGCCAAGTGTTCAGCAGTCAAAGGTTGAACTCACCAGTTATTTAGGATCAGACCTGTAACAAGTCTGCACTACATGAATGCTAGCCGCCCTGTGGAGGAGAGCAAGTATTTTGTTGCATATGTATTCTACATTGATTTGTGTTATGCAATGTGACATCATAATGGGGGGATTTTGGAAGGGTGATCGCCTGGCTATTTTTTCAGAGGAAGGATTCCAGTGGGGCAAGGATGCTACTAGGGGCTCCTGGCTCTACTAGGGGCTCCTGGCCTTGCTACTAGGAACAAGAAGCTACTAGGAGCTCCTGGCATGGCTACTAGGAGCAAGGACGCTGCTAGGGATTCCACTGGACAAGTTTGTGCAGATTCCTCATGGACAAGTTTGCTTTCACTCTGCTCCTAGTAGCGTCCTTGCTCCTAGTAGCGATGCCAGGAGCCCCTAGTAGCGTCCTTGCTCCTAGTAGTAAGGCCAGGAGCCCCTAGTAGCATCTTCCTCACGGACAAGTTTGCTTTCACTCTGCACAGCTGTGTTTGAAATGCCCTTTTAAAACCGTCGATAAATGACTGTCACAAGATTGCTGCCTTTGTGCAACAGGGGGGTACCGATTTTGTCATTGAAATGAGTATATACACAGGCTGCTGTAGTGTGTAAAAGGAAACTGCTCGTTCGTTGGTGGCGCCAACTTCTTGTATGCAACCGACTACTTTAGTTTTGGTGTGTCTTGCTCCAACTATCTAGTTACTATATAAAATGTATATATTGATATACATATATAATATCTGAATATCTGAACATTATATTTGGAACTAGGCCATATTTGACCAGTTCTGGTCAGACCCCCAGCGTGGTTGATTGCCTTATTGAAACCCTGAGCACCAAAGCCGCCGCCAGACCGCAGTGTTCTCCAGCGTGGCGCGGCTGGGGGCCCAGTTTGCTTTCTTGACCTTGTGACATTTTGTGACTATATTTCAATGCTTCCACAAGATTGTGCAGTGGTTTATGATGTTCGCAAGAGTTGATTGGACCGACTTGATTGTTGATGTCAATGCAGTTTGCTCCCACCTGCAGTTTGTCCAGGCTCTAAGGAAGGTTTGAAAAGGGACTGCAGGCAGGAACCACAACTTCAATCCAGGGATCAGAAGAAGGAAAATCGATCAGGCTACAAACAGCAGATGCTTGGGGCATGCAAGTGAAGACACATCGTGGTCAATATGAAGTTCTTCCAAAATACATGAAACATATTGAAACATCATTTAAACAAATACAACAATGTTTATCCTTTTTGTTTTGGACACTTGGAAACTCAATTAACGTCGCAATGCTGGGACTCAGTGTCCCCGGCAGCTTCAAATGGCTATCAGTTTCACCGTTAATGTCTACACATGATCTGCCGGAGGAGCTCGGCTTTTGGTGTGTTTGCATTGTTGGGACATTGTTCAGTACGTTGTGCATTCTTGGCCTACTGCTGTTCTCCTCCAGAACGGCAAGCTGGCGCACGGAACTCTTGCGGTACCTCTCGTTCGTCTTGCTTCACATCACAGATTACGTCACAAACCTCCTGACGATGCTCATCGTTTGCCTTGTCGACCACCCACGGTACTTCTATGTGCTGTTGTTAGCGCATTTAGTGATTGGTTGCTTCTGCACGTGCTCAGCCTCCACTCGTTTGGAGTGGCAAAGATGGTGCTGCGTACCGTTTATCAATTTCTTCATTATGGTTGTTTGCATGGGGCTCATGCAAGGGGTGCAGCTGTGCATGGCTCACGAGGATTACATGAGACGACGGGCAAGATTGCTTGGCAGCTCAAGTGCTACTGAGATGCAGGTTCCAGCCATGATGCCAGCGCGATTCCACAGCAAGGCTATGGATGGCTTGCTGGAGGGCTCCGTGTTTGCCTATGTCTCCATGTATGCTTTGCTGAAAGACAATTGGGCTGACAAACAATTCAATCCTGTGATTTTGAGAGAGGCCTGGTACACCCCTTGCCTCTACATAGGTGCATTTTGCAGCATCCTCAATGTGGGCTTGGCCCTTGTGGAGATTGATCACCGGACATCAGCTTGCATTCAAACCGTGCTCGATGTCAGTCACTCTCCGTTGGCAACTACCAGACATTTGGCATTCAGAGCTTCGGAATTCTCCATGAGGCTTCTGACAATGCTGGCATTTTGTACGTTTATGCGTCCATTGCAGTTCTGGTGGATTGCCTATATTTTGGTTGCGGCTGACTACATCTTCGGAGTGGCACTGTTGATCATTCTGGGTGGCCGAGATCCTGTGAGGGAGGCCTGCGTGGTGCTTGGACTGCCCCTCTTCATGGTGAACATTATGCAGTTTGTGGATGCTCCCGGGATGAGCCTTCAGGCCAGACAGATCTCAGAGATCATCGTGCCACTGCGAAGTATTGAGCTTGCTGGAGTGCTTCTTTTTTGCGTTTTCTGTCCTGCGAAGATCAGAGTTGTGGGACAAACGGAAGACTTTGGAATGATCTCCTTTGTGCTTACATTCCATACGTCATGGGCTATTTGCTGGGCAGCCAGTGTTTTGATCTACTACTTGCTGCTAGCAACATACGCATTCCGAACAAAGCCCGGAGCAGACCTCCACAGTGCGGTGGCCTACGGCGAAGTCGAGGTCTTGCGAGATCTTCTAAGAACCTCAGAATTAGTTCTGGATATTTCTCGCTTCGGGCCGGATGGAAAGAATCCACTCCATTTGGCAGCTCGCAGAGGACAGGTGGAATGCATGAAGCTTTTAGTGGAGGAGAAAGCCGATTTGCAGGCAGGGAACCAAACTCGATGCCGGAACCGTATTCGAGCAGCGCTCAAATCCCTTTATTGGGAAACCACAAGCCTCGATTCCGCAAGCAGGATATGTGATTCAAAACAACTATAGAGCCTACCATTTAAAGGCAACAAGCGATTCAGGAAGGAACCTGGTTCAGATATTCCAGAGGCTTTGTTTGCACGACCACCGCCGAGCCCTGCACATTCTTCATGAAAGAAGCCAGTGTTCCAGTGCTCCACAACAACAAAGCAGAAGACTAAGCCCGCCCAAAATCTAACACAAGATCTTGCGACTCAGAAACAAGGTGTCACAAGGCGGAAGGAATATACATGAAAGTGATTGAATGTTCTTTGCCATGAATCCAGGAACCATTTCAGAGAGGATTATTCACCATCTTCTCCCGCCCTTTGGTGGGAGAAACTTCCTTGCAGACATAGCGTATTTATGTCATTTCCATTGTTCTCACCTCTACCCATTCTTCATGGGCATACCCCGCATTTATAATATTGACGTAATAAAACAATGACATGTCACAACATATGGTCTCCAAAGCTGGTATTATTTAGTCATCCTCTTTTCCCGAAAGGGACTTGACTTTCTTTCATGGTCTGTCGCATCATCCGCCTTGAAACAAAGTTGATTTGGGGTTCTAAAGCATGGGTCTCAGTGTCCAATTCTTTTCTACCCTGCAGGCACGTACGGGAAACAAGCAGCAAAACATGGCCCTGCACTTGGCAGCCATGAACAAGGTGCCTGATGCTGCAAAGTTTCTTTGTCGTGCTGGCCATGGTGACCCTGGAATCTTAAATGCTACAAATGCAGATGGTGACACACCACTCCACATTGCGGCCAGGTGTCAGAATGTGGAAGTGCTTCGGGAGTTGCTTTCTCATCCTACCATCGACATCAGGGTCTTGAACAAGCAAGGTTTGAGTCCTGCCGAATGTGCGCCTTCAGAGAAGTTCAGTTTCCAGCGTGACAGTGCTGAATGTGCCATAGCAGACATGCTACGCGCTGCAGAAGCAGAAGCATCATCAAATCATAGAGTTGACTTCAGTCGACCATCTGTAACTTCGGCTATGACTTCAGCCTCCAGCACATCCACAGCAGCACCAGCTGAGAGTAGAGCTCGTCGGGTGACTCCACCGTTGGAGGAAGCCACGGAAATGTCAAATTTGCGACAACAGAGGGCAGGCATGAACCAGCCCATTGAAGCCAATGCGCAAAGTCCAGATGGCTGCAAACACTCAGTGCCCCTTTTGTCGGTCACTCGTGAAGCAGAACAAAACTTTGTAAGGGCTTCGCAGGGCACAGGCATGGCTTCTGAGTCTGCAGAGCCTCCGCTAGCAGTTACAAACTGTGGCTTGTCCTCGTTCATGCTCAGTGCTGGTTTGGGGGCTGTCAGCAAGTTTTTCTTGGGTTCCATTGCAGAAGATGCCGAGAAGTATTTCAACGACTCAGACGCAGCCAGCTCCAACATTGAGGACTTTGCAGAAATGCGATTGCTCGGTGCGGGTGCGTTCGGCAAGGTTGTTCTGGTGCGCCACAAAGCCACAGGAGAGCTTTACGCCATGAAGACTATGGAGAAAGCCAAGTTCAAAGCCCAGAAGATCACCAGCAAAGCTCATAGCGAACAATTCATTTTGAGAACAACAAGGCATCCTTTTGTAGTTCAGTTGCACTTTGCTTTTCAATGCTCCTACTTTTGGGCACTCGTGATGGAGTATTGTCCAAATGGTGACCTCCAGGCATGTTTGGTGAAGCATGGAACTCCTGGACTCCTGCTTGCGGATGCAGCTCGCTTTGCCGGAGAAGTCTTGCTTGCGCTTGAACATTTACATGGTATCAGGGTCATTTTCCGAGATCTCAAACTTGAGAATGTGGTCATCGACTCCAACTATCGAGCGAAAGTCACGGACTTTGGCCTCGCGAAGAAGTTGTACACAGCAAGTGACGCCAATACCATGTGTGGGTCTTATGGCTATGCTGCTCCTGAGATCATGATGAGTAAAGGGAGGTACACATACGCAGTGGATTTGTACTCATATGGTGTCATGCTGTACATGCTAGTAAGTGGTGGTGAGACATCTCTACGGAATCCAGCACAGAAGAATCGGCTTCCTCCAAAGACTCATGGGCAACTGAAGAAAAAGCTCAATGACGCTCAAAAGGACATGACTTTGCTGTGGGCAAGGCCAGACTCCCTTGTCATGCCGCTTTTGAAGATGTTGCTCTCTGAGGATCCACAAGAGCGATCCAGCTCAACAGCGCTCAAGTCAAATGCCTTTTTTGTCAAGCACTTGCAAGAGCCTGTTGACGCTTTGTTGGAAAGGGGTAAATGCTGTCCTCCTGAGACACTTGCGTGACACGCCCGAGCATCCACAGCTCGTGATTTTGTCTCACCAGACGGCTTCAGTTGAATTCATCCAAAACGCCGTGCATGGAAGCTTGCAGTGCTCTTGGGAACATGATTGAGGTGCTGAACCCGAAAAGAGACAGGTCCAGATAGTCCACAGTCGACTGCAAATGCCAGGTGGAGGACACGCCTTTGTTTGAAGGGCAGCTACATGACCTTGCTGCAACAAGAGGCGGGAAATCCTTTACCGCCATTAATACAAGGAGACAGAAGCCAGAATGCAAAACTTTATTACACCAAAGGCCAGAGTGTGGCTGCACACTACCTGTGGTCTTGCACACTGAACATTGCGATTCGTCAGCATAGTTAGCAAAACATGCACTGATCGGCAACGTGTTCCCTTCTCACATGTGTATCGGATTGTATCGGTATCAAAGCTACTGTTACATCGCTTGACCCCGAAAGGGTTGTGTGGATGCTCCGACGCGCTTCCGTCGGTCTGGAGCCCTGGAGCCACAAGATGATGCTGAAGGGATTGTGAAGGGAGAAGTCCCGCATTCGCGAGCGTGTGAGTTTTAGTGTGCAGACTTCGTAGAAACATCCCTGGCATATAGTCTTATAATGGATTTTGTACTGACGCAGCAGGCAACTTAAGTTAGATGAACATTTCCAGATGTGGGGCTGGTGACTGTCCGTTTGAGAGGAGGAGTCAGTGTGGGAGAGAACAGGTGGTGTACTAAGTTACAAGCAGTTCCCGGGCAAGCCGGCGGCGGAAGTTTCCTATAAGAACAAATTAACCTATAGGAGTGTCCACGTTCTCTCCAACATGCGCGTCCTCCAGTC